ACAGATTCCTGGGCCTCACTCCTAGAAAGTCAGGTGAGCCCCAGATATTCATAAACTAATCAGCATATCTAATTCTGGTGCAAGAAGTCCATTGTAGGCCACACAAGTCCATTGTAGAAATCACTTATTTGTGAGAACAAACCATAATGTGATCTCTACTATTACCCCTCCTCTAATATCAGGGGTTTGGGCCAAAAAGGGAAAATGCTGGGCTCATCTGTGAAGCTAGTTAAGCAATGAGAAAGACTTCCCCTGCTCAGAGGACTGCATTTTACTTTCAGTAGTGCTTCTTGATTTACATTAAGAAATATATTGCTTCTAATTTACATAAAAAGATTTATGACCAAATACACAAGTAATAAAACCCCAGGTCTAATTACAAGAAGTTGAATGGTGGCTGATGAATCAAACTAAGGGCATTAGCTAGAGGCAAACAGCAAAGATGGAGCATCAGACTGTAGGGAGGGAAAGCTTAAAATACTGAAAAGAAATAAACAACGTCAATCCATATAATAGATACTGGAAGCTGGCAAGGTAAGCGCCTGCTTTTATATTCCCCTTGGGTGGGTCAGTAGATCCTTTGTCATTCCACCAATGTTCACTGAGGACCTACCATGTGGCAGACACAGTCCTTGGGCTGGCCCACAGTATGGAAAAGGACAAGTAAAAATTCTTCTCCTTGTGGATCTTACATTCTACTGGGGTGAGGGGACACAGCTGATGAAAAAGATAAATTTTATATTAGATGGTATAAAGAAGTTGAATTGTGTGTCTGTCCAAAAGATGTGTTTAAGTCCTAAAGTTTGGTACCAGTAGAATGTAACCTCATTTAGAAACAGGCTCTTTGTAGATGTAGTCAAGCTAAGATGAGATCATTAAGGTGAGCCCTAATCCTTATAACAAGAGGAGAAAAGACCCAGACACAGGGAGAATTCCTTGCACTGATAGGGGAGGCAGTGATTGGAGATTAGAGTGATGCACGTATAAGCAAGAAATGCCACTGGGAGCTAAGAGAAAGTAGGAACAGATTCTGTCCTACAGCCCTTAGAGACAGCATGGTCCTGGCGACATCTTGGTTTTAGACTTTTAGCCTCTACAACTGTGAGAGAATTTCTGTTGTTTTAAGCCACTCAATTTGCGGTATTTTGTTTCATGGCCCTAAGAAACTAATGAAGATAGATGCTAAGAGAAAAATAAAGCAAGGAAGGGAAGTAGGGAGTGTTGAAGGTTAGGTGGCAGTTTAAGTAGTCACTTGGAAGTCCTCACCAAGATCTGAGACTGGAGTGGGGAGCCATGTGGACATCTGGGGGAGGAACATCCCAAGCATGTAACAGTAAGTGCAAAGGCTTCGAGGGAGTGTGCCAGCTGTGCTGTGGCTGGAGCAGGCTAGGTTAGGGTAAGAGCTGGGAAAGGAGGTGGGAGAGGGAGGACCAGGCAATGTAGGGACTTGCAGGTTATACGTAGTAAGGCTGATTGAGAGAGAAAGCCATGGAGGCACACAAAACTATTAACAAAAGAGTGATATGATCTGAATTTTCAAAGTAGCATTTAAAAAAAAATAAAGATCTCTCAAGCTGCTGTGTTGAGAAAATGGCAAAAAGGGTAAGAATGGAATGTGGGAAACTAGCGAGGAGGCACTGTTTTTAAAGAAGCTATAAAAAGTGGTGGCTTGAAGGGGGTAAAGGTGGGGGAATATGGGGGGGAGGAGAATAGCAGTTGGATTTTGCTGTTTCTTGCAGGTGAAGCCAAGAGGATATGTTGGTTATGAAGAGGGGAGCCTGGTATGATTGCAAGAATTTTGTCTGAGTCACTGGAAGCTAAGGGTCCTAAAATAACAATTATCTTTTTTTCACTTTTGTGTGATTTTCTAATTTTTGTGTAATTTTTTTTGTAATTTAACACACTAATCCTTGTCATAATTTCCATATGTACAATATACAAGTACTGAAAAAATGTATTAACCAAAATGTTCATTTTTTACATTAACACCATTTGCCAAAAAGCCTTAGTATGCAACACACAATCTTTCATGTTGTTAAAATGTTTGAAGTGTCAAGTGCTTAGTAACATGTACTCATCTGTGGTATAGATGAGGAAGAGAGCAACCTATCTAATAAAGAGGGAATATGCAAATTGACCATCACACCATCACAAAGATGCCAGTGCCCACAGTGGAGGCCGGGTTTCCATAACAAGCCTTAACAGCCTTAATGAGCAAACAGCAGGGTCCTAGGAGAGGCTGGGCACCCCACCTGGTGGGGCTTGACAGGGGATCTCAGGCCGTGACCCCCACCCCAGTACCAGGTGGGGGGACTTCAGGCCACACTCCCCATCCAATGGGGCTTGATGGGGGATCTCAGACCATGACTCCCGCCCAGCAGGGCTTGATGGGGGACCTCAGGTCGTGCTTCCCTCCCTGGCGCCAGGCCAGGGGACCTGAAGCTGCACCTCTTCTCCCCCAGCATGCACCATATGTACCTAAGGCTGAGAACCCCCCCCCCCCCCCAGGGGGTTCTGAAGCTGCTCCCCCTACACTGCGGGGCTTGACGGGAGATCTGAGGTTGTGTTTCCTGCTCAGCGGGGATTGACAAGAGTGGGGCCAGCTGGGTCTGGATCTCACCCACGAGGGGTGTGGCTGGCAGGGTCTGGTTCTCATGTGATTTTTGAGGCAGCATGGGTGGGTGGGTATTTGGTTCTGGATCCTGTGGTGCACCAGACTCTGACAGCAGGATTTTCATATACATGTTACTAATTTTCTTTCATTTCTGACACTTCTATTACAGAGAAAGGGCAAATAGCAATATTAAAATATTTCCTTTAATCCCCTTTTAATGCACAAGGCCACTAGTCCTGTAAAATAAAACCCTAATATGCAAATTCACCAGACAGCAGAAGGACGGGTTGTTATGATGTGCAATGACCACCAGGGGGCAGATGTTTAATGCAGAAGCTGCCCTCTGATGGTCAGTGCGCTCCCACAGAAGCCCCACTCATGGCTTTAGAGTGCCCCAGGAGTGGCTGGGGAGTCTCAAGTCAGGTAAGGAGCCAGGGGTCCCAGAATTCGAGAGGGCACAGGCTGGGCTAAATTACCCCCCGCCCCAACCTTTCCACCCCCACCCCCAGTGCACTAAATTTCATGCACAGACCTCTAGTTTAACATATAATGCTCTTAAAAAGACCTTGCTCAGGTTATGTTAAAAAGCAGTGGTGCCCTGGTGCTGCTGTGGGAACCCTGGCTTGTGTTCCTTGAAGCTGCAAGCGAGGAGTGCAGTCATTGGGCTTAGACCAGGAAGGGCGGGAGGCCTGGGAGTAGGGTGGGGCCAGTGGAGTGGGCTTGCATGGCACTGCAGGTTTATATGACACTGGCCTTTGCTTTGGACGTCACAGAATGTGCTCTTAGCCTTGCCTTCCAAACACCATTGTTAAACCGGGCTCATAGCATCCTCTGGACACTGGGAAGTCAAACAGCAGACAGCTGGGCGACTCGCTAGCAAGTCCTGCCAACTCGATGTCAGCTTGAATAATCAAGGCCACGAGGCCTTACCCACAAGTACACGGAGTGTTTCTCCCATGGGCGGGCAGCTGGGTAGCGCGGCCAAGTTTGCTTCCGGAAACCGCACCAGTGAGCCGACTTGTAAGACTGAACCTCGTTTGCTGCACACAAAACTATTAATAAAAGGAAACAGGTAAAAAACAAAACAAACAAAAAACCCCCGGTGAGGTGACCCTCAGAGAAGGGTATTGCCAAGCTCCCCCTTTCCCCCCATCCTCCTGCTCTGGCACAGCATCGCCCAGGCCGCAGGGGAGCACGTGGGCGGGTAGAGACACGAGTGGCTGCAGCGTAACCGGCTGCACAAGGAGCCCTGAAGACGGATGCGAGGGGACTTGGGCATTTTTGTCTCCCCGCCGGAGCAGCGCGGTTAGGCTGCTCCGGCCATTATATAAGGAGGGCGGACTGCATAGCGCGATGCGTCCGCCCACCGGGCTGCTCAGACACTTCCATCCGGCGGCGGCGGCGGCGACCTCTCGCCGTTGCGCACGCGCAGCGCGGCCCGCTGGCTGACAGGGACCCTCGCCCCAGTGCGCTCCTCTCCACGCCTCCGCCTCCGCCTCCGCATAGAGGCTGAAGGTGGGACTGGCGGAAGCAGCCGGGCCAAGGACCGCGCCCCTAACTCCCCGTTACTTTCCTTCTCGCCGCTGCCCAGGGTAGGCTGGAAGGGCCCAGGCCGCCTCCTCCGCCACCCTGGAGTCAGCCCCTCCCAGTCGCGTATCCTTCCGACTCCAGCGCTCCCCACCCGCGCGGAGGAGCGCCCAGCGCAGGCGCGGTAACCAAGGCGGCGGTGTCTACTGAGGATTTAAAATTGGCCGCGCGTGCGCACTGGCGCCCCGGCCCCGCCGTGAACGGCCGTGCTTCCTCCCGGCCCGCCCCGCCCCCGCCCCGCTCCCTCTCCGCCCCTCATTGGAGCGGAGGCGGCGGCGCCCCCTCCTTTCCCCCGCTCCCTGTCGCCGCGGAGAGTGTCTTTTCGCCGCCGCCGCCGCCGCTGCAGGAACACGGAACCAGCGGCGCGAGCGTGACTGAGGGCCCGGCGCACGGCGGCGGCCCTTCCTCGGGTCCCGGGCCGCGGCGCCTGGGCCCGCCCCCTCTGCCCGGCCGCCCGCCCCTCTCCCATGGCCTCTCCCCGCGGCCCCTGTGGAACGCCGCCGCCACCGTCGCGGCCCTCGCGCCCGCCCCGCGCCGCCTGAAGGAGCCCGACAGGCCCGAGCCGACCCGCGGCCTGCTCGGGTCCGCCCGCGCCGCTCCGGGACCCCGCGACCCACCGCCGCCGCCGCCGCCGCCGCGACCCGGCCGGAGCCGCAGCGCAGGCTCGTCCGCCCGCCCGTCTGTCCACCCGCAGCCCGTCCGTCGGTCCGTGCACGGCGCGGCCGGGCTCGGGGCGCGGCGGGGGCGGGGCCGCGGCGGCGGGGCGGGCGGGCGCGCGGGCCCGCGGGGCGGTGCGTGGATGGATCCGCGCGTGGCCTGGATCCAGCCGGAGCAGAAGGGGCCGGCCAATGCCCTGTGGATGCAGATCTGGGAGACCTCGCAGGGCGTGGGACGCGGCGGCTCGGGCTTCGCGTCTTACTTCTGCCTCAATTCGCCCGCGCTGGACCCGGCAGCCTCGGCGGGGGCGGCCGGGCTGGGCGGCGGCGGCGGCCTGGCCGGGCCCGTGCTGCCCGCCGCGTCGCCCCCGCCGCCCGCGGCCGGCCCGCCGCCGCGCTGCCCCCGGCGCTGCTGACGGCGCTGGGGCCCGCGGCGGAGGGTGCTCGGCGCCTGCACAAGTCGCCGTCCCTCTCGTCCTCGTCCTCGTCCTCGTCCAACGCCGAGTCGGGCACCGAGAGCCCGGGCTGCTCGTCGTCGTCCTCGAGCAGCGCCTCTGTGGGCCGGGCGGGCGGCTGCGGCGGCGGCCGCGGCGATGCCTTCTTTCACTTCGCCGACGGCCCGCCCAGTGCCCCCGGCGCGGCCAACGGGCACCCCGGGGCGCGCGGCCCCGCGCCCGCCGGCTCCCCGCCGCAGCACCAGTTCCACCCGGGCCGCCGGAAACGCGAGAACAAGGCCAGCACGTACGGCCTCAACTACCTGCTGTCAGGCAGCCGCGCGGCCGCGCTGAGCGGAGGGGGCGGCCCGGGCCCCCAGGCGCCGCGGCCCGGCACCCCGTGGAAGAGCCGGGCGTACAGCCCAGGCATCCAGGGGTGAGTGTGCGGGCGGCGGCGGGCGCGCGGGGCGGGGGCAGGGGACCGGAGGGGTTAGGGGAGTGGGCACCAGGCTTGGCCAGCCAGCGACCCTGCGTGGGTGCTACGGGCGCTCAGACATCTCTCCGTCTGGGCTCTCGTTTTATTTCAGGGGTGGATGTTGGAGGCCAAGGTCTGGCTGTGCTAGAAGGTTCTCATTTATTTATTTATTTTTAAATGTTCATCTTAAGGCTCTGGTTATTGCTTAGTTGTGTTTGCATATTTGCAAAGCTTTGAGTAAATCTTTTTTTCTAAAGAAATGTGAAGCTCCTTTTATAAACGAGCGATCAGTTCGACTTGTGTAGATGTGTGCTGTTTTTGCCTCTTGAGACAGGGAAGGGGGATCAGATACTTTTCCCCCTTTCATTCCCCCAGAATGCTTAGGGACAGACCTTTTGTCAAAGCGAGATGCAGGTAGGTATGGCGTTTTATGTAAACTAAATTGCAGGATGTAGTATTGCCAGGAACTTGAATCAAATTGAAGGTAAATATTGTTAATTTTTTTTTTTTTTTGCAAAGTCCTTCTAAAAGATGACCTTTTTTGGGGTAGTAAAACAATTTGAGAGGGCTTGTATGTTGTGACTTAATTTAATTTTGTGCTGAAATTAACATAAAAAGCATCAACTGCATTTATAAAAAACCAGTAGCGCTCAAAGAAAAGAAAAACGTTTATTGCACATTCTTAACTTTTTGGAAGATGCCACCTTTATTTTAAATGTTTCCACAACAGGCTAGACTAGGGACTTAGAAGTTCTTAAGTTTAGTGCAATTACAGATGGCTAGGCCAGATAAAAAACGTGTGGTTGGATGGAGCTGTCCTAGGTGAGCCTGCTCAGGTACCAATGTTACTTATCCAGTCCCTGTGATTTTCTTTGCTTTTCTAAGTATCTAGAAATAACATTTGCACATAGGTTTTATTTCAGTATTTCAAGATTTAAATCATAAACTTTCTTGCACAATTGCATGCTCATTTAAAAGGTACCTAAGGATTTCCCAGGTGTCAGAATTGCCACAAACATTAGAGTCTTACTGATTTCACAATTGGCTAAGTATTGGGATTACTTCTTAAAGGAACTCTCTTATAGGTCTGTTTATTCTCATGAAAGTGAGAATAAATTGATCCTACTTTAAAGCATCTGTGGTACATGTTAAAGCTGCATGTTCTACAACTTATTTCCTCTGGTTTGGGTTAAAATTACTTTCTTAATTACCTGAAGCCTGAGAATGCACTTTGGACCCAAAGTAGGACCCTTTCCCTCTCTCAGTTTTCATTTGTACAGCTTGTTGAAAAGAGGTGGTGGGAGTGCTCTCTTGATGTATGACATTGTATCTAAGGGCTCTTTGGGGAATCTTCAGGTTTCCAAACCTGTATGTAACTGGAATTGGCTCTGTGTCTTAGTACTAGGAAATGGGAAGATAGGTGATTTTCACTATAGAGCATTTTTGGACCCAGACAGCTGGGATTCCTGTTTCTGCCCTTCATGAGCTTCTAGCAATGGCAGTATCATGCCTTGTGCAAACCACTTGGGCTCTGAATACTGACTGCTTCCTCACCCTTAGGTTTCTATCTATTGTAGTAAGCCTCAGAAAGTCCCTTGCTATTGCTTTTCTAATGAATGAGCTCACCATATGCCAGTCACTTTGTTAGGGTCTGGGTGGGTGTTTGGGCACAATCTCATGATCCTGACCCTGGAGCCTAGCCCTCCTGAGAGTGACTGCCTAGCACACATGAGCACTGTTTGTCCAGGTATGCAGATCTCATGCCCATCACTCTCTGGTATACATTGTTTCATCATTGGCCTGACCAATCTCTCTGAACCTCATCTTCCTTATCCTTCCACAGAACTATTGTTACTTCTAGTGGAGATTGCTCAAGTAGTGCCACGTGGTTGTCTTGCCCCATCTCTGGGGTCTCTCCCAATACTGCCAATGGGGTGATACCCTGCTAAGTTTCATCCCACCCCCTTGTAATTCTGTGATGGCACCTCCCCTGTACCCCTTAGGTTAAAGACTATAATGCCTTAAGCTTTCAGCAGGCCACAAGGCACTGCTGCTCTGGGCCCTGCCTGGGGGCTGGCTTGGTTGGCTTCCCCTCTGTGAGGATTCCCACCCTGCCACACCTCCGAGCTTGCCTGTTAGAACTCAGCTCACAGGCCATGTGGTATAGAACTAAGAGTGGGCACTGAAGCAACCAGGATCTCTGTGTTTTAACTCACCTAGAGGTGGTGGGAGCGCTTCCTTGATGGATGACATTATATCTAAGGGGCAGTAATGCTCAAGTTAATGCTTCCCCCCCGCCCACTCTCTTATTGGCCACATTTCCTTGCCTGCCTTAGGCGTGGGGGGAAGTAGGGAGAGGCATGTATCTCAACCCCAGTTGTATCTAATGTATTTCCTGTTATCTCTGCCTGGAGGAGAGCCTGCTGGGATTGCCTACCATGTTCATGGAAGGGTGGTTTGCTACTCCCAATCTATCAGACTAACCTTTCAGAGGGGATAAGGAAGAGTAGTGGTTGACTGGTGCTTATGATTAAAGGAGGTGGGCAACTCTCATGATCACATGGGACCCTTTGGGCTTAAAGGAACTAACCTTTTGATATCAAGAAATAGCTCTGTCTGGAACTTGCCCCTGGCTGCCAGCTTACCCAGAACGATGGGTGGCCACCAAAAACTCTTTCCCTGTGGTTTAGAAAGGGAAAGAGTTGAGATAAGAGAGTCCCTGGTCTGGCCAATAGAAAAAAACCTTGTTGATGAGAAGCTGCTCAGACTTACCTATGCCTAGGACAGGTGTTTCTGGAAAGACGGTGTCTGCAGACCTCAGAGATGATAAGCAGTTGCCTGGTGCGGTGGAAGTTTGAGTAGCATCAACTGAACCCTGGCCTTTGCCTGGTAGTCCATGTGGCAACCTGCACTGTTTGTTCTTTTCTGGAAAGGAGGTTTCTGCCCTTGGAAACCTTGTCTGGTGACCTGCCTTTGTGAGCTTGCCATTCTGCTTTCATCCTTGACTAAGATGAAGAAAGAGCAGGTAAGAGGAGAGGGGTTATTGAAAGAATTTTCGGAGTAGTGAAGGTAAAATGCTTGTTTTGGAGCTGCCATTGGCTCTAGTTCTTATTCCATCTTTTGGTTGAACTTGCACACTTTTGGGAACAAAATAAACAGTATGAGATATATTCGCTACCTGGGCTTCTGACATAGAGATGTGGACAGGTGTGTGGATAGGTTCCTGGGTCTGTGAATCCTGGCCTCTGGTTGCTGCCATTCTTTCATGCCCTCAACTCCTGACCTCTAACCTTCTGATCCACAAGTGCTTTGCTATTTAGTTTTCAATAGCTTCGGAAACCTCATCAGTTTATAGGTAAAGAAAAGTCCTGCACAACTGAAGCGGGGAGTGTAGACCTCATATACTTTGCCACAGCCTTACTGGTGCCCTTTGAAGTCCCAGGAAGAGCATAATACAAGAGAAGTTCTCCAGCCCTTCGGCAGACCCCGGCAGGACTGGTCTCTGACAAGGCTTTAGTTGGGGCTTGGCCTTTCAAAGGTTGTCCTCTCAGGCATGCTTGCAGTGTGCAGCAGTCATATGCAGTATTCTCTCTGCTGGTCCCTTGACGATATTTAATTTTTGACATCTTCCATTCCTCCAAAGAAAATTTTGTTCTTTGTGTGTACTTTATGAGAAATTGGTAGATGCCATTAATAGGACATGGTCAGCCACACCACTCAGGGCCCTGGGCATGGGTTCTTTTCTAATTTCATGTGTGTTCTCTTTCCTCTGTTCTCCTGAGGGAATCAGAGCTTGGAAGAGCAGCCAGGACCCCTTCTCTCTCTGTTGCTCCAGCCTGACTTGGCACTATCTAAAGTAGAGCCATTGTGACCTGCCCAGCACATCCTTGGGCTACCATGTGGGAGGGCACAGGTGAGAGCCCATCAGGGCCCACCTCAGACCATAGCCACCATCACTATAGTTGTTCTTTCACTCCAATCTCTTCCTATAAACATCACAGGATGCAGGGGAGAGAGATTGCAAGATCTGCCTCAAAATGTGAGGTGGCACACGTGGGCCTTGTTTTCTGAGTGTTCATCCTCTGAGACCCCAAAAGTATAAGGTGGTAGGGGGAAGCAAGAATGATCACACTTTGCATATGTTTGCTGCTGTGCTGATCATTTATGAAATGAGCTCAAATACTCCTTCCTACCTAATAATAGCATCACTCATTCCTACCCATTGTACCACAGCCAGTCTCTCTGCAAAGTGAAATTGAAAATCTAGCACAAGAGGCTGGCTGTAATGAAATTGAGGAAAGTGATACCTGGTTACTGATAAAGGAGATTGGATGAAGTTAGGACAGCCAACACTTGGGGAAGGGGCTGCTCAGTGGAAGAAGAGGAGGGTTAGGGCGGGATAGATGCTCTGGAAAAGGAGGATTGGAATATCAAACAGGTTGGGGAGTGTCCTTTAGGAATTTAAAGTAATTTCGGAGTAGTGAAGGTAAAATGGTGCGGTGGAAGTTTGAGTAGCATCAACTGAACCCTGGCCTTTGCCTGGTAGTCCATGTGGCAACCTGCACTGTTTGTTCTTTTCTGGAAAGGAGGTTTCTGTCCTTGGAAACCTTGTCTGGTGACCTGCCTTTGTGAGCTTTGTGAGCTTTGTGAGTTATCCCTGGAAAGTGAGGACCTTCTGTGTCTTGGTTAGGTCCTTACAGTTTAAGATCTGGTTTTTCAGTTGTGAAGTAAAAGAGGGCTTGATTTTGATGATGCAGCCAGAATCAGGCTAGCAGGAGAGGGATGACTGAATCATACTAATTAGATTCACAGGAAATTGTATAAGTCACAGTATTACCGAGAAATTGCCACTGGCCAGTGTGACTGAAGACGGCTATCTAGATAGAAGGCTCTGGTCAGCTTGTTGTATTTTCTCCTCTCAGGAGGCTGCTGAGTGAGTATGGCACCTGAGTTAGGGCAGG